TATTAAATAATGAATTTTTATATATCTAAACATAAACAGGTTGATCAAAAATTATTACGTAATATGCGTTTTTCACGTAAACATAATAAAAGCCGCCAAGAATTATTACAATTGGAAGCTCAATTACGTCAGGCTAAAAAATAGATTGATTGATTGATTGATGGATGGATGATTGATTGTTTTTCACCTTTAAAAAACAATGACTAAAGAATTTGTATTTTTGTATTTTTTATTATAATAATGGTATAATCAATTTTATTTTGATCCTAAATTGAATAAATGAATACAAATACAAATGAATTGAAGTTGTCAATTTGTTTTTCTTTCTTTTTTTATTTGGCAAAGCCAAATATGTTAATAAGCCAAAATTCCAATGAAGCAATTTCATCTGAAAAAAGATCTTTACATATTGATAATGTCAGTGGTTTTTGTTGTTGAAATTTGCGAAGAATCAATCAAAAAACAAGAAAGTTTTATCGATTTTTTCATCATTTGATCGGCAAATAATTTTGGCAATCAAGATGTAAACGCATGTTTTTTTTCTGGCAACAAACATCAATCCTATTTGACATGTGCGTAAAATGTAAAAGATGATGATGATGATGATGATGACGTAATAGACGCGAATCGTGATCACGCCATTTGATCATGATTCGACGCATCGATTATCGCGCCATCGAAAATATTCATCCATTTTTTACGGTTTGGTTTTTTTTCGGTTTTGACTGGGCAGTATAAAAATCGTTCATTTTTCCCATTGACTTATATATTTTTTGTTTCCATTGTCTGTGTGTCATTGACAAAGAAAAAAAAGCCGGTGATTGCCTACACATTTAGAAAAACTTTTGCTTTGCTGCTTGTTTGCTGTTTCTGTGTGTGCATGGTGTGGATTTATTGCGCGCGCGAGAAATTATCATTTACAAAAACACACACACACCGCCAATACCATTACATAAATCGATCGTATGATCGTTGAAACCAGGAAAATAAAATTAAAACCAGTAGCAACGACGACAACGACAAACAAAATCATATCATCATCGTTTTTTGATATTGAAATTCATTTGAAATAAACTGCAGATTGATAGGATTGAAGCAATCATTGAAAAGCAATCATTCATAATCGTGTTCCACATATCCATCATCCTAGCCTTTTCAGCATAAATTATCATCATTTGAAGGATGGCATTCATAGTATTATCATTATTGTTGGTCATCCAATCATCATCATCATTGATGACCATTCAAGCCCATAAATTGCCATCATCATCATTATCATTAGCTTCAAAATCTATTTATAAACCTGCTGCTGTATATAATGAATCATTTGCATCAACATATCAATTAAAAGATGGTGAAATTATTACTAAATTACATTGGAATAATTATTCAGCCATTGAAACTCGTTATCTTCATATTGATTTAATACAGGTAAATATTTTTTCAGATTAAATTATGTTGAGACAACCAATGATGATTGTTGTTTTTGTTTTCTTTTTTTCGATGATCAAATTAGCTAACACGTAATGAACATGAAATTATTCAATTCTGGTTAACCGATGGTCAATTAATTGATTGTGAATATACGAATGATAGTAAAACTATTGAAAAATTTCATGAACAATTTAATAAAATTAATCCAAATATTCATAAAGATTCAAAATCATTTCAAATGATTGAGTAAGTTGATACAAAATTGATGGTTCGCAACTATTCATTGTCATTGTTATTGTTTTGTTTTAGAAAATATAATAATTTAACTAAAATAACATCATTACCTGAACATTTAAAACGATTAATCGATTATGAACGTTATGAACATGAATGTCAACAATTACATCAAAAAATTCGACAACATTATCAATCAAAAATTATTAACAATAATGTAAATGATGATAAAAATTTGTTACGATCACGAAGACGAACGGTTAGTAATAATTCATATTATACCATTGATTGATTTTGGTAAAATTTTATGATCATCATCATCAAATAGAGAACAAAACGAGATTCACTTTTATTTCCCGGTACAAAATGGTGTGGTAAAGGTTCGAATGGTAAAGTTTTTGAAGATCTTGGTGATTATTCATTTGCTGATCGATGTTGTCGGTATGTTTGAAACCAAAAATGAAAACAAAAATCATCATTTTCTAATGATACTTTTATCTATCTGCTGTGATTACAGTGATCATGATCGATGTAAATATTCAATTGGTCCATTCGAAAATCAATATCATCTATTCAATTACAGGTAATCCTAATCAATAATCGATAAATTGAATCAATCAATAATTTTTTGATTATGTTATCCAAAATCCACAAAAACAGATTTCATTATGTTTCACATTGTTCATGTGATGAAAGGTAAGTGAAAAACCCTATGAAATGTCTGTAATGGACATTTCATGTAAAATAAAAAAATCCTGTATTTGACATATCAATTTGGTTTTCTATCCCCCCCTATGATCCATTACTCACAAATAGATTTCGATCATGTTTAAAAGTGGCCAATTCAGGAGCAGCAAATCTAGTTGGTAAAATTTATTTTAATGTTGTCAAAACCAAATGTTTTATGTTCAAAATGGATGATATGTGTACTGATCGTACATGGTGGGGTAATTGTATTGAAACAAAAAGAAGAAAACGTGCCGTATTTCGTGAACCAATGGAATATTGAAATTTGAGAATATAGCTATAGCTTTAGATAACTAACCAATTGAAAAACAAAAACAACCACCGAAAATTCTCTCTCTCTATATATATCTGCGCTGTCGAAAACATTTGCATAGTTATAATGATGATTTATATTATTTGTCAATAATTTGATTTTATCTGTTGTTATTAAATAAATGATTGGCTTTTTATTTTATTTACAAAAACAAAAAAAAATATAGAAATTTTTCAAATTTACAAAAATTCATGTTTGGTTTTTGGTACGAGGTGGGCTAGTTGATGATGATGGAAAGGATGTGGTTTCTTTGTTGGTTGGACTAGCTATTAATGGTGATGGTGGGATAACGTTCATGATTTTGATTTGTACTGTTGTTATCGTCGACATCATCATCATTATCATGGTTAATATCATTGTCCATTTGTCGTAATACCATTATATTAGGTAATGCATTACGTCGTCGACGCCATTGACCAAGACATTGACTTTGTTTACGAAGTTGTTCTAACCATTCACGCATTTCGGATTGTGTTTCGGCCTGTATATAATGGGATGAAAAAAAGTTCAGTTAGTTCAATGGCCAATTGATTACATATTATAATACATACTTTTAATAAAAGTGATTCCCGTGATTCAAGTTCATGTATTTCGAAAAATTCTTCACTATCAAAATCAGTTGCTTTGGCTATAACACACATTGATAAATTGAGAACATCCTATATATACATAGAATAAAAAAATATAGTCAATTTGAATAATGGAAAATATAAACTAAATACTCACTCTACATAATGTATAACGGCCATTTTTTTCTTTAAACAAAATTAACATTGCTTCACGATCGCCATTAATCTTTGATTTGTTGCCAGGATATTGTTGTTGTTGTTGTTGACTTAGACTTAAAGAGTTACAACTACTACCATTATTAATACGTATAGGACTTTTTGAATTGGATCGTTGACGAACATTAGATGATGATCGAAGTAAAAAATCATTACTTTCGGAACAATCAACATTCGATAATGATGAATGATTAATGTTGGCTATATCCGACAACAATAATGATGATGTCTGTGTGATTGATGTATCCATATTTATCGTTTCCGAATCTGATACATTGGATGATCTAACAATAAGCACTGCATGTGCAATAGAAAATTTCAATGTTCGAGACCAAATTTTCGATGATGATGATATTGATGATGAATTTGATAATGAATTATGTAAAATAGTATGTGTGGAATTGCTCATGATATTGTTATTGATTGATGATGAACCACCATTATTATTGTATGATGCATTTAACTGTTCCGAACTTGTAGCTGTTCCTGATCGTTCAACAATAAACGATAATCTACCAATCATTATAAAACGACTTTCATCCTGAGGCCATTTTAATAGATCCAAGGAAGTCTAAATGTTTATCAATTGAATGAAAATGATCAACAACAAAAAAAATGATTTTTCTTCTTCTTCTTCTTTCGTTTACCTTTTTAAGTCGAACATGTCCAAAATCTTCGATAACATGATGATGATGTTGTGAATCATTATTACGAATACGCATAGATGCTGATGATGATAGATTTGAAATACGACGCCAAATACGTGATGTAGTAGCCGCAATTGAACCTTTTGTTTTTTGATTAATATTATCCAAATGATATTCTAATTTCATTTGCGTTTCACGTAATGAATCATAATCGGCATAATGACGTGGTGTTACTTTTACCAATCGATTCAATAATAATGGATACCTTAAATAAAATGATAAAATGATTAGCTCATTATTGTTTTGAGAAATATATTTTGCGGAATATTTACTTGGTAATTCGTTGAACTGGTACGACTAAAAATGATCGAAGATTCATTCGTCGTAACAAAGCATTTTCCATCTGTGAAACACGAAGAAATATTCGAAGCAATTCTTTTTCCTTTTCCAATTGATTTAATAATAATGAAGCAGATGCTTGCCGAATACAATAACGTTCGAATACGGCAATCTTTTCAAGTAAACATTCATTAAACAGCTGACCAATGTTGACTGTAGTAAGATCCTGGATACAAAATCGTTAGTAAAGATTTTTGTTATTAAAAGAGCTAAATGAATGAATGATTGACATGAAATGATAATTACCTCATCACCTTGTTGTTCAATAGCTAAATCGACAGCATCCTGAAGAAGTTGTGCTAACTGACAATTTACATCGATTAATTGATCTAAATTCAAAAAAATATCATCAACTTGTTGTTGTGTTAATAGGCCGGCAACACTAATCGGTTTGGCAAATTCTTCCAATATAATCTTTAAATCACGACCATATTTCAATTCAGTATCAACAATTTCCGAAATAATTTCTTTACGTTCATTACGACGTTTTTGACATGGATGACATACATAATTAAAACTATGATAATAATGCTGTTCTTGTTGTTTGGATCCATTGTTCAAACTGGTTATCGGTAAACGATTATTGCTAACCATATCTTCATGTCGTTCACAATCTAAACAAATTCGATCATGATCATCATCATCTTTATTTGCCATAGTACGGCAATCAATTTCGTTACCAACACCTGAATCATTACGTTCAACAGTTGGTATGATTCGATTAGCCAGAACATAATAACCGGATGAATTAGCTGATGAACCACCACCAATACTTGAACTACTTGTTGTAATAGCATCATCATCATCATCATCCATTTCATCCATAGTTAGATTTGAAATTGATACACCAGATGTTGCTGATGATTCACTTGATGCATTACTTATATTACTAACACGATTTCGACGTGTACTTGCCATCGTTGATCCGGTTATTGATGATGAATCATTATTGTTGTTGTTGTTGTTGTTGTTGGCATTAATAAAACAAGATTTTTTCTTTATTAAATAAACTAAACTTTCTTGATATTGATCATCAGCCATACAAATCAATGAACTATTACCCGAATCATCATTTTCCATTTGATATTTGGATTCAATATCTTCGGAAATTATTTGATTATTATTATTATTATTATTGTTGTTGTTATTGATCGATGTTGACGACGATGACGACTGACCAATATTACAATTGCTATCAAAATCAAGTTTATCCATACAATTGGTGTCAACAACAAAACGTTGTCTTGCACCATTCAAATAATTCAAAATTTCATCACGATGTGTTCCCATAAACAAACGATGTTTTGTTGTTTTATTTGCATCATTTTTGGCCATAGATATTTCTTTCGAATCAATATAACAATAATCCAGCTCTTCATAGATGTGATCATCTATTTCTGTGTTACGATTGTTGTTGATCATTGTCGGTTCATTATGACAATTGTCATCGGATTTCGTGATCAAATCAGATTCATCAATATTGACTATCGGTTCATCATCGATTAAATCTTGAGATGTTGACATTGTTGTAAATGAAAATGAACAACCAGAATCGATACTTTTATTACGGATATGATCATCATCATTGATTGATTGATTGTTTAGATTTATATCATCATCATCATCAGCATCAACATTTTGATTGATGGAAAAATTCAATCGTCGACCTTAACAATCGATGATAAAATCAAATTAATCAAGTTAAGTTAACCCAAAAGAAAAATATAACCAAAAATAACTTACCAAGTGAATGATTTGGTGATCGTTTAATTGTTGCTGGACTATATGAAAGATTTAATTTCTTTGCCAATAATGATCGTACACTACCGGTTGAATAAAATTTTGTCAATGGTTGTTTGCCTGTTGTTGATGATGATTTTTCATTATCCTCGACATCATTATCATCTGGTATCTGTTGTTGATAACGTCTAGCTGGAACTGGTGGTGGTAATGGAGAAATCGTCGTTGATGAAAGTTGTTGTCGATGATTTTCATTTTGATTCTGAATCAAACAACATCCTATATAAACCAAACAAAATGAAAAAAAAAATTTGAATTTTTTTGTTTTGTTTCTTTTAAACAAATGATACGGATCAATGGATCAGGTAAGTAAAAAATCACGTCACTCACGATCAAATATCAATTGAAATTTTTTTTTCGGTCGAAATTAGATCAAATTAGATCAATAAAACAAAACATAATGATGGTGGTTGCTCTGGTTCAATTTCAACTTAGCAGTCTCGAAGCAAGTTAGGTTACACAAAATATTTTGTCAATCTAAAGATTGGGTGTCAAAATGAACATGTGTGACATGCATGTGAGAAAAAAAGTGGTGGAAACAAAAACCGTTTGATTGACAAACGAATAACTTTCTCATCGACAATTTTGTTTTGTTTTTTGGTCCAGCCAAAAAAGATTTCATTAAATCAATTCACACACACACGATGATGATGATCTTAACCAACCAACCAGCCAAAACAAACCAATCGACCAGCAACAAGTGAAAATGATCAGTACAAAACTTTCGTTTGAAAACAACGAAAACCCCAGTTCACAATGGTTCCCATAGTTAAAGATTATTATTAGCGATTGATTTCAGTTTGAAAGGCGTTGGTCACAATCCACACAAAACAAAACAAAAAATTTCCATTTTTGTTATGAAATTCAGTCGCCACCATCATCACTACCAACCACCACATTTTGAAAATGCAGGAAATACAAATCTCGAGAAGAAAAAAAAATTTTGACCCGACCGATCATGTTTTTTCCGCGTATTTGAATTTGCAACTTTTTTTTTTATTATAAATGTCACGATCCAAGGTGTGTTGGTGTTTGGTTGGTTGGTGGTTGTGGCTGATGATATGATAATATATATAAGTCACACCAATATCGTGACTTTCAAAAAATCAAACATCAAACATCAAAGATGACAATCAGACCTCGATAAAACAACAAAAAAAAAGCATCTGGACTATGACACAATAGGTTTGGTTGAATAAAAAGGTGGACAACAAAAAAAGATTGGCATCAATATTCAATTCAAGTGGTTGATTCAAATACACCCTATTCAATTTTTTGCTGTTTTGTTTGTCGTGTGGAATATGTTAAGTTAAGTTAACCACACCTCATTCATGATAGAACAAACAAAACAAACATAGATCTAATCTGGTCAAATATTAAAAAAAACTCTTAAAATAAATTTTTGATGGCCACATTTTGAAAAAAAATCTATCATTTTTTTTTGTTGATCAAACAATAATCGATCGATCGATTCGATTAAACAGTGATTAACGATGTGGCACCCACATCAATATGTGTGTTGTGGTTTTTGGATGTGTGATCACGAACCATGAAAATCCGAAACAACATTATTCGGTCAATCAAACACACTTGGGTTGAAATAGTGATCGAAACTTGAAAAATATTTTTGTTTTTTGTGGTAATTCAAAGATAATCGTGACCTTGAACCAAAGAGAAAGAAAGAGAAAGACTATAATTTATGGATCGGGTTGGTGATGGTCATGGCGTGTCATGCATCCCATAATAACTATCATTATTATCATCATCTTTGATGATGGCCTATTTCTTTCGCATAATAATCTTCATCCAAACACACTTATTTGACCAAAACTAAACAAAAATAACCTAATAACCATCACCGTTATTTATTTTATTTTATTTTTGGTATTTACACACGACGATATGGATTTCCATCATCATCATCAAATCATAAATTATCCTCATTCTATCAATCAATCATACAAATCATCGATTTTTTGAATGGATATAAACTTACCATCATTGGAATTATTATCACCAAAATCGGCCATCATCAAATCATCGGGTGAACGAGAAACATCATCATAGTAGCTGCTACTGCTGTTACCACAATGTTCACCACCATCATTATTATCCAAATCTTCTTCATGTATAATTTCGGTAATTATATGACTAGCTGATCTTGAACGATTTAAACTACCGCTACCACCCGATGATACTGTTCCTGAAACATCAGATAATGAAACTGATGCTGCTGATGAACGTTTCATACGAAAATGAACATGTTTTTTTCCTTTCAATGAAGAAGAATCTTCCATAACATCATCATTATTGATGTTGATATTATCATCAACATTGTTGTTTTTGTGGACAACTGAAACAATTTCATTCAATGATGATGATGAAAAATTTGTCTTTTTCAATATAGATTTAACACCTTGATTTAAACGTTCTTTTAATTCATTTTCAAATGAACGATTATTATTATCTTGTTGACGATTATTGGATTGTTTTTCGTTTGTTGGATTTTCATTTTTCATTGGATTTTTTGGCAATGTTGTTGTTGTTGAACGATTCGTCGTTGACAATGACGTTGATGGTGTGGTTAAAAATTCCGGCGGAGGTGGTGGTGGTGGCGGCGGAGGTAGAGCAGGTGGTGGACATGGTGGTGGTATATTCTTTGGACGTTGTAACGAACTGGTTGATGGTGATTTTTTACGCTCGAAATTAATCTTTTTATCATCATCGTTGGTTAGAATTTCGGTGGATTCTTTTTGTTGATGATTTTCCAAATTGATTTGACCATTATTCTCATCTTGATCATCATAATCAGGTTCTGGTTCATCAATAATCAAGGGGGAAATACGTTGATCAACAACAATTTGTCTTGTCGTCGTTGTCGATCGATTCAATGATGAATCAGAATTTGATTGTGAAGTAGAATCATCAAATGACCATGATGATGATAATGAACCACTTGAACGTGTACGTTGTAATGGATTTGTTGTTGATGTTAATGGTGGCAGCTTTAAATTGATAGCTTGATGATGATGTGGATGAGTACGATCATCATCAACAGTGGCAGCAAATTGTATGGCTGAATAAACAGTTTGACCGGCAATACGAATACTGTTTGTTTTGTTGAAAAGATTACGAACGATCATACGATTTTTGGATTTTTGATCTTTACAATCAAGACAAGATGAAATAGCCGTAGTATCGAATGTTTGATTCATTTTTGAATCATCATCTTTGCTGTTGTTTTGCTTGTTTATCCATGACATAGAATGACTAGATTTGACCGTATCCGCTTTATATTTTATTTTGTTATTGGTACGTTTGGCTATTTTGACTGTAGTAGTATCCGACAATGAAGATTGTTGATTAGAATCATCATTATTGGTCAAAACAAGTTCATATGGATTAACGTTGCATTCCAATATTGATCGACGATTTTCGGTTTGTTTTTGTTGAGAATTTGTTGCGGATGAAGATGTCGATGATTGCTGTGATGCAGCAACAATTCTATCCAATGATTTCGAAACATTCGATACTAATCGTCTTCGTTCATTGATTGTATGAAATGGTTTACCCATTGTTTTTGCTGAATGACGTTTGGTTTGAGTTGTGTTGAATTGCTGTTGTTGTTGTTGACTTGAACGCTGACCGCAATCCACTAATAATGAATCATTCGATATTGAACGAATATTTTGTTGTTTTGAAACATTTGAACATGGTGCAATCAATTGACTATCATCATCATCAAAATAATGATGATAAGAAGGTGCCATAAATGTTGATCCAGTTAGACCACGACAAACACAATGATTCATATTATCTGTTAATGATGTATTACCGGCAACATCACGGTTAAATAATTTGGCCAATGAAGGCGGTATTGCCGCTTTTGTAGCTGCTTTTGACTGCGACGTCGCATTTGGAATTATTGAATTATTTGGAGCATGTCGATTTGATATCGTTGATGTTGTTTTTGTTGATGATTTACGTTTCCAAGTAAAAAGACCATTCAATGGTGATGATTTTGATGTTGATGATGATGGTGGTGGCTGCTGTTGCTGTTGAATTAATTGTAGCTGCTGCTGCTGCTGCTGACCATGATATGAATGTCCATGTATCCTGTTTAATCTGGCCACACGAACCGTATTAAAATGCTGTTGATGATGAGGATGATGATTATATGAATGATGATAAGCAGCAGCTATATGATTATGGCTATGGCCTAAGGTTCCCATCATAATAGGATTCGTATGTAATCGTAATGTTGATTGATTTGTTGTTGTTGTTTTTGTTGTTGATGATGTCATTATTATGTGATTATTACGTTGTTCCATTATTAATTAATTAATCAATCAATCACAGAGAAAAGAAGAGAATATTGTTGTTGTTGTTGTTGTTGTTGTCAATCGACCACTTATTGATCATCTATATGTAAATAATAGAGGTGGAAAAACAGAAACAGAATTAGATAACAAACAAACAAACAAACAGTTTTTGTTTTTTTGTAACTATGAAAATAAACAAGGTAAAAATCCTTGAACTTGAACAACAAATCAAAATCAAAATGATAATTCCATATTTATAATGATGAATGAATTTTAAAGTCTTAATCTAATTAGAAACAAGAAGGGAATGAAAAATTGAATTGAATTGAATCATCAAACAATTCATTTTGGCGGATTAAAAAAAAATATGGATTATTCCCCTCAATCAACATTATTATCATTTTGAAAATGATGAAAAAAAGATTTCAACAAAAAAAAACTGAATGTCATTTCCTTTATCATCTTCATGATAATGGTGATGATGGTCAGTTTTTTTATTTCGGGCAAAAAGCGAAAAAAGCGAAAAATGAAATCATTATTCATTCATTTTCATTTTCATAAATGTTTTTTCATTCATTCAATCACATCATTAAATGATGATGAATGAAATGACAATGGCATAATGTTTTTTGGGCCAAATATCATTGTTATTCAATGAAATTCAATTAACCAAAATGATGATGATGATAATAATAAAATCACGTAATATCGTTCGTTCGCAGTGGCCAATCTTCCTTCCTCGATTTTTTTCATCGTCGTTGCTGTTTGGTCTAAATATCTGTTGATCCTTGAAATTTTTTTAAAACGATTTTTTTCAAAGAAGAAAAATGAATGGAAAAAAATCGTTGATAGCTCAATCGATCATTCATTCATGGCAAAATCTCGCAAGAAAGGAGGAGGAAAAAATGAATATTTTTTTTCGGGGTAATCCAAATCGATCAATTCAAATCGATCGATCGATCATTGAAAGCACACATATATCAATGACATTATCATCATCATCATCATTAACCACGTGTTATGCGAGCGGGAGGCAAAAAAAAAGAAACGAAACCGACCTAGACCTCGATGATGATGATGATACCGAATTGTTATTCAAGAAAAAAAAGGAAAAACTCTATCCATATGAATACAAAACAAGCCAAAACGTGCCTTTTCATTTAACCATATGGTCCTCTCCCTTTTCCATCATCATCATCATCATCATTAGAATCATTGAGAAAATTGAATTCAATTTTTTTCTTTTTGAAAAATATTTTCGTGTTTTTTTGTGCCCACACAAACACACAAACACACACGCAATCCGTTTTTTTCTATTGTTTAAAAAATGAAACAAAAAAAAAATATTTCCAAATAAAGTCTCCTTTTCAAAGTTGTTGTTGTTGTTTGTGATTTGTTGTTTGTTTGTTTGTTGTTGTTGTTGATAAACTGGGCCAAACAACAACAACAACATGATCTACATTGGTAAAATTCATTGCATCCATCCATAATATATAATCATTGCCAATATGCAAGCTCACACTTATGGTTTGTTTTTTTTACTGTTTTTTACTGTCAAAAGAATCATGGTCATTCATTGAAGTGATGAAAAAAAAAATTTTTTAAGGAAAAATTCAAAGGATTTTTTTAACCTTGTGGAATTTTGAAATGGAAAAATTCTTTAGTTAAGACATTATGCTGTTGAGCATAGCAACAAGAAATTCCTAAAAACATTTGAAAAAAAATGTACCAGGCTTTTTTTTCCTTTTCATTTTCTGACACAAATAGAAATCTAGGATTATTATTATTTTGTTACCAATTACAATTCTCGATTATCCGGGGTATTTTTCTGTTGTTGTTATCGACAACAACAAAACAAGGTAATTGAGAAAATTGTTTTTCATTTTCATTCATCCAACCTATCCGAGGATCAATTTTTATTTCGAATGAAAAAAATGAAATGAAATTATTTTGGAGGGAAACAAAAAAATAATAAGGCCAATCCTGTGTGTATCGAACAACAATGAATGAATGAATGAATGATTGATTGACTGATTGACTAAGCAGAAGAAGAATGATTAAGCTCCATTTAAGCTAAATAATCGTGATGAATTTCGTTATTTTCTTCTACGTTTTTAATGTTTCAATTTATCATCATCATCATCATCATCGATTGATTATATAAATAAGTTTGAAAAGAAAGAAAAGAAAACAAAAAATCGAGAGTATTTTGCAAAATGAGAGAGATAGGTCAAATCTAGGTATATGTTTCAGAAGCACAGAAGCCATTCAAAAATATATTTGAATCAAAAATTGATTAATTAATTAATTAACATAATCAATATCGATCGATCGATCGATTGATCATCATCATCATTGGTGGTATGATGGTCACGATGAAAAACTTTTCCAAGATTTTTTTTCATATAATCAATCAGGTTAACTTAGTTTGATTTTTCCATTTTAAAAATCACGACACAAAATTTTAAATTCAAAAAATCTAAGAAGGGAAATTTGAACAAGGACAATTGAAAAAGTTTTTTCTTTGGACATCATTATCATCGTTAATTTGGACATTATTTATCCTTGAAATTTATTGCACAAATATGGTTTTTTTGTTTGTTTCGTGATTCGTGATCATCAAATGATTTCGATGATGATCACATTGTTCAGTCGATCAAATGGAAAAATGTTCCAATTCCACTAATCAATAGAGGAAAGCTGAATATATTTGGTAGCCAAAAATGAATGATCGAAAGAGAAAAACTTTGAACATTATTGGTGAATCAAATTGATTTGATTGATTGATCTAGTTTTTCGTTTATTTATTTATAATTACAAGAAGAACCAAATGTTATTTCAATGCAAACAAACAAACAAATAAAAAATGAATGAATGAATGAAAAAGATGATGCTTTTCACAAGTGTTTTTTTTTCTTTCTTTGTTGGATAGGCTAAAAATATAACTCTCGTCATCATACAAGAGTCATTTTGTTGGTCATTTCTCCACAAAAAAAAAATCTAAACAATCATTTAGTTTATCATCATTTCAATCCATTCATTCCATTCAAATGATGAAAAAAGAAAACATGGTAAATTGGATTTTGATTATGATTATCAAACAAAAAAAAATTGAATGAAAATCCATCTTCATTCACACACAAAAACTTATTTCATTTCAATTGAAAAACTTTGAAAAAAAAGCAAAAGTCCAAAATGATGACCATTACTAATCATTGATTGACGTGTGTTTGTGTTTTTTTTAATATGAAAAACTTTTATAGAAATGAAATGAAAAATCACTCAATCTAAATCAAACTGGTCTAAATTTAATTTTTTTTCTTCGTTTGCTTGGTTTGGATATTTTTTTTTTCATTTTTCAATTTAATGAGCTACCTGTTGTTGGATTTGTTGATCATTTTGGATTTTCTTTTCAGATGAAAAGAAAACAACAACAACATCGATCACCCTGTATTTTTTAAAAAAATATATATAGGGTGTCAATTAAAAAATTGCCCCAAATGTATCACTAATTCGTAACCACACAAAAAATACTATCGATACTATCGATATTTCTATGATAACAACAATTCTTATCTTCTTTTTTTTTGGATCAAAAATATATCTATCTATCTAGCCAAGAGAGAAAGACTATTATCATCCAAACATCATTTGATCAACAACAAAAAAATAGGTAGGCAGCCCATTAATCATCATCAACATCAATGATTATCATGTTACCCGATGACTTTATCATCAAAATGTCCAAAAAAATGTCCAAAAAATCAAAATTTTATCCGGTTATTATCTACCGAATGGATCCATTATCCAAGCATTTGCTTGTGGCCAAAAACTATCAAAGTCAATTATAAGTCAATTTTGCCAATCCAATCCATCCATCGATTGCTTGCCTGCTTACACACACACAGACACACAGGAAGTAATCAAAATCAAAAACAAAAAACAACAGTGAAAAAAAAGGGTTTTTTCCATTCATTGAAAACATCGAAAAAAACATTATGCAGATGAATTATCTCATGTAACATTCTTTTCAACACTTTTGCTGTTGTTGTTGTTGTTGGTGGTGGCTAATCACACACCCACTCTTTCTTGCTATAGCCATTTTCGGAATACTTTCCGGTGTCGGGAAACTTTGAATTGAAAATTTTTCCAGAAATTTTTTTACTTTTTCGAAAATAATTTCCTCAAAAAAGAAAGGAAAAAAAAGAAATGTGTGACTTTAAAAAAAGGATTATCTCAATTTAGAACAACAACAACAACAACAAAATCAAAACCAATTTAATTGAAAAATTATCCAGAAATTTAGAAAATTAGATCAGAAATAACTTTTTTTTGAAAAAAAAATCTTTACCTGGCTTCACAATTAATGTTTGTTTAGTTTTTCGCATTTCTTTTTTTTTTCTTCAAAATTTAATCATGTCACCAGCTTAAAAATCAACGACAATTATCATTGAAATCAGTTAGTTAGTTAGTCGGGTCATCACTGTATCATCATCATCAACAGCAGTATATTTCCCAACCACAAATAATAATAATATGTCTGGGGAAAAAAAGAAAATCTTCGGAGATGGAAAAATCATCTTCTTCATCATCATCATCAACAAGAGAAAAAAAATTTGATGGTCATTCTTATTATAAAATTTGTTGATTTAATAATAATAATAATAATAATTATTATCATTACAATTCAACCACCACCACCATCATCGTTGATTTAATAATGAACTTGAAAGAAATTTTAACCAAGTAAAATTTTTCCTATTTAATCTTTATGACTGAAGAAGTTGGGAAAACTGATCAAAATGACCCACACAAATATAGATTTTCGGAGTTAAAAATATCTGAAATCATTACACTAATCAAAAGGTATTGATATAATAAGTTTGTTTTGCTTTTCATTGTTCTTATGGCAAATGATGATGATGATGATGATATAACAAAATTGCCAAATAATTTTTTTTTTTGCCATTCATTCATTGAAATTTCATTTTCATTTGATACAAAACAAGGTTGACAAATTTTTTTTTGTATTCA